AGAATGATATCAATCGCGAGCTCCTCATCGAAGTTGACATTTAACTTCAACAAGCGGTCCACATATCTCTGCATCTTCTGCAAGTGGGTCGTGATGGACTCTCCATCCTTCATTTTGGTAGTGATCATCGAGGCGATGATCTTATACCTCTCTTTCCTGGCACTTTGATGGTACCTTTCCATCAAGTCCTGGTGCATCTCAAAGGGATAGTAGTCCTCATAGGACTTTTTGGAGTTCGGCAGTCATAGTAGCTAGCATGATGCAATGGACTTTCGTTGCATCCCTTTCATGTGCCTCGTAGGCAGCTATTTCTTCAGGAGTGGCAGTATTGACATTAACCTCCTTGAGCTCCTTATCGAGAACATATTCTTTGTCCAAGTATCTGGTCACCATTCGTATGTTACGAATCCAGCCGTTAAAGTTGGTGCCATTAAAGATCACTCTTCTACAAAGGTTCACGAGAGAAAAGGAGCCAGAAGCATTAGAGCCTGAAGCGTTGTTGTTTTGATTAGACATTTGAAAAAGAAAAGAGACAAAGTTTTGATTAGATATGAATCCCCAATTAAACACCCAAATGAGAAATTAGGGCTAGGATCCAACAACATTATTTACAATTAAGAAAAGGGATTCCGTAATCTAATTGCAAATAATTTGAAGGTAAGTGAATGACGATTCACTAATTTCCACTATGAAAAACGAAAAAGGACTTTAAGTTTTAAATGAATTGAAATTCCTAGATTCTTTTGAGATTCATTGAACTTTTCAATGGCATGTTTAAATCTCGATTATGCCCTTCAAGTTTGTGACCAGGATACCGAGGATCACAAACAAGGTGTGAATAACCATGCAAATGTGCTTGGTGCTCTCGATGTCATTTACCACCTAACCAATGTGTCAGTTAACCACACACGCTCCATTAGTCTATGATAAACATCGAGCCACCCTTTTCCACCCAAGCTAGTCCCAAATTAGTGTGTCGGTTAGCCACACACGCTCCACTTACGACTTGGCAAGGTGCAAAGTGCAATTTCATGGAATAACATACAATTTCACATTTTTCCTAAAGTAACTAAGATTGAGAATTTTATAAAAAAAACATTTAGTTACTTTATTAATCATTATACTTTTAATGAGGAATTAGTTGCCCTATCCTACCCGTTCGGCTAACGACCCTCCACCAATCAAGGAAGCGGTGGGTGAAAGTGGACACCCATTAAACTGCCATTTTACAGGCAGCAACCTTATACCCCCTTATAGATCGGCTTCGTGAATGAGGCCTACTAACGGTAAGACTAGCTTAATCTTATACATATATATATATATATATATATATATATATATATATATATATATATATATAAAATTAATCTTATAATATTATAATAGTATAAGGATTGAATTTTAAACTTGTAAAATTCTAGGGTTTAGAATTTAAATATTTCAAAATTAAACTTTTAATCAAAAATTTAAATTCCAAAACTTGAGGGCAAGTTTTGAAACTTTTCAAAACTATCTAGATCAAATTACAAATAATTTAATTAAACAATTATTTAGTGATTATCTAAATTTGACCTAATTCAAATTTCATGCAAGATAATTCAAATAAATTTACAAATAATAAATCTTTATCTTATAAAACAAGTAACTATCTTAAATTGACAATTATCCATTAATTTGATTAAGATATAATTACCATAACAGAAAATCTGATTTTTAATTTTGAAAAACAGTTTATGGTAATTATCTAAACCAAATTAGGGCAAAAAATTCGAGATCCAGCAACAGAGCTGAACTCACGTCGTGACAGGCTCTGTGTCACGTCGTGAGTCCAGCAGAATCTCAAAAACGAAATTTTTTTCTTATTTCAGCCATGAACAATTAACAAAGCATCAAATAGATTAGAACAAACATCCTAGACTCTGATACCACTGATGGGTTTTGAGCATTACAACAATCCTATGGTGCACATGCAAACCCTAATGCTTGGATCTAGTTTTTCTAATTGTACATGCATAATTGTCCAAGACTTGCAAAACCCTAATATAGCATATCATAAAAATCGAAATCATATATAATAAACTAGTTAGAAAGATACCTTGATTGATGCTTGAAGAACTTGATCATTTGAGAACCTTAGCACCTCAAATGTTGTGCCTCTAATAGATCACAAACACCAAAACAATTGGAGAATGCAAGAGAGAGAGGGGAAGGCTAAAAATCGTCTCCTAGAACTCTTAGGGTTATGTGTAGCCGATTTTAGGTGGCCAAGGGTTTCTTTATATAGGTGAGGAGTTAGGGTTTCAGTCAAACACTATCCAGTTGCTTAGGCTTTAAGCAGCCCATAAGAATGTTCTGGAACCCCTACCTTGGACGAATTCTAAGGCCTTATCCCCAAGAATTCGTCCACCCCTATCTCTAGGGTTTCCTTACCCTACTTTGCAACTATCCGATAATTACAATATTAGTCCCTTAGCTTTAATTAATATCTTTTGATCACAAAATTAATTTCTAATTAATTCTTGACCAATATTAATTAAACAAATATGATTTCTCCTTTAATATATTATTCATATCATATATTAATAAACCATAATAACCTATTTGTCTATTATTCATTCAGTCAAAATGTTTTGGTGAAGGCAACCCAAAAGGACCATGCTACAACCGGGTCAAATACATACCATATATAGTTATGAGCTTAGACACCTAATCCAACTCTATGGGCTCCTTATTTCCGACCTACATATCATTACTAACCTTACATATGGACCAACCTACCTTATTCTTAATAATACAACCCAAACCACCAGTCATCTATGAAGAATAATGTGTAACATGACATCATCAAATCTATACAACTCTTAAACCTACATACTACCATCATTGGCATGGTACTCCGTTGGCATTTATAGGATTATAATCGGCTAAAGGTCATGAATTATAAGTTTGGGTGCTTATTTATGATGGTACATGGTCCTTATTCATCATCGAATAAGGGTGAATGTTGGATGGTCCACATTGTTATTTAAGAAATATGATGTTGATGGGTCTATTGTTTGCTACAAATCCTACCTCGCTAAAAATGGTAAAGTCATCAACATCATGCTTAGTGTGATGAGAAATTCAATATGGTTTCTAAACTAGCTAGCAAATACTATTTTTAAAATTTTCAAGAGACTATCTTTATGCATAAAATATTGAGTTTCCATGATCCTTAATTTACAGATCACATATACCACATTAAATGATCTCTTTATAGACCTAATAAGCTTTGCATGCTTGGTTTTAGTGTTTTGCTTAGTTTTTATCACCGATTTACTTGCAATATTGTTGGTCTAATTCTTACATCTTTATTTATAAAGAGAGATTGTCTATGAATTTTCTACTTCCTTGTGTTGACAGCATCGTCATGACTACGTCATACTGCCCATTCTCCAACACATCATTTCATCCTTTTGCCATGGGTTCTCCATGATTTGGGAGAGCTCGATTATTTTCCTAAGACATGTCACATATAATCATAATGTTATATTTCTTATCAAGTAGAAGGTTGCCACATACATTCATGAGTGCACAAGCATACTCAACTATAAAGCATGTCCACACATGATGACATACAATCTAAATTGGATGCCTCCAACATACTAGTCACCAATCCCAATCTTTACAGTAGTTTAACTAGCGCTATTCGATTCCTTATCTTCACATGACCGTATATTGGTTATGTAGTTTAACATGTTTTCTTCTTTATATATGAACCTTGTGAGGCTTACTCAAGCACTGTCAAGCATTTTTGTTGTATGTTCATGGCACCCTTGATTATGGATTACAACTCCACATCTTCTCTATTACCAGTCTTAATGCATAATTGGATGACGATTGGGGGGGATGTCACTCAATCAAACTTTCCATGTATTATATTGAGAATCATGTATTATGACAATATGAATAACATCTACATGTCTACCAACTTAATTCAGGATCAACGTACCAAATATATTGAGATAGACATGCATTTTGTTCGCGATCATGTTGTCTTGGAACGTGTTTGAGTTCTATGTGTTCCCTCTATGTTGGTATCTTCACCATGATGTTCAAATCATCTCTATTTCATGAGTTTATTCCTAGTTTAAATGTATGGAAGAATCCTCTGGGTAAAGCCACAAAAGAATGTTGATGTATGTACAGTTAAGCCAATTCCGTATAGTTCGTAAAATCGCTTGTAATCTTATTTATATATATGATTGATGAAATATATCAATTCGTGGAAAAAAAAATACAAACCATCATTTTACCATCTCAAAGATCACAATAACTTTTTAAGAAAATTATGTATATGCCCCAATTAGATATTTAAAACCATCCATCATTGTTACTTATAAACAAATGGGACCAATACTTCGATCTGGAAGATGCAGATCCATCTATTCTTACCAAACATTAAAATCTAAGTTAATTGCTTAAAATAGATTTAATACTTCCATTTGGAAGATGTACATCCATCTAATCTTACCAAACATAAAAAAGAAAATAAGTCAATTCTTTTTAATAGGTTTCTATTAATAGTCAAACTACTTGTTGAAGACAATTAAAAAGGTTCCTATGTCCTAATCTTGGTATTATATTTTTGACAAAACAAACTTCCAAGTTGGGATTAAGAAAGTCCAACACATGCTATTATAGGTGACCAAACATCAACCACTCTGTCTTAATCTTGACTAGTTAACTAAAAAGAAACGTTTAACAAATATAACCACCCTAACTAGACTTAGACTTCTAACAACATCAACATCCAAACGAAATAAATCATATGCAACGCAAAAAAATAATCTTAAACTTTACTTATCCTTTGATAAATGAAGAGAAGTTAGTCTATTTTGGATTTTCAATCTTCTTTAATAAATAAATAAATAAGTATGAAACCATTTGGACAAACACGTCCAACCATCAAATAAATGCAGTCTAACACAACCTCAAAACAAGCTTTCTACAAACCATTCAACAAGTCTATATATTATACAATAATAATTAGGAAATGGTCCATATCTTTTAAAGAAATTTTCTCATTAAATCAAAATTGACCCCATTGTCATAAATGCATGAAAGCTTACAACCAAGGATTCCAAATGCGATTCAAAGGAGGAGTTTCACTTGTGGGCTGTGGCTACTATAAATTATCCACTTGTGGCCCTTCTACATGAAAGAAAAGTATAGTTGAAATCTTGAAAATATATTATTATTCCTCTTTTTAGTAGCCTCCATCTTTATCTTTACATCCACCTACACTATTTTTCCCATATTCTTTTACTACAAAAGTTTGTTGTTCTACTTAATAAATTGCAAAATTTTCTCATTGTAGACCCTCTTAAACAGTTCTGAAGTATTTTTATTTTTTTAAATTTTTGTTTGAAGAGAAACCCATGATTAAGGGCAATAACAATCATTGCTAAAAATCATTTTGTACAAGATGATTCAAGGGAGGTGAGATACAATGATTCAAGATCCAGACCCGTATTTTGATTCAAGAACGACCCGAAAAGGTAACCAACCTAGCAACTTCAATTCATCATTATTATTGACAAATAATAAATAAATATTATATGGTGGGCTATGATTTCTTAAAATGTACGATAATATCTTGTATTAATTGTAATATATTTTCAGTATCATTTTGGATTATATTTAGATGTGAACATCTTTAATTTATTAATGACATTGATGTCTTACTATAAACACCAATGTATTCAATAAAGATTGTTTAAATCGTACATGAAGCTATTTATTTTAGTTTAAAGGCTTTATTAAATATCTCAAATGTTCTTTATTATAACAAAATATAATTGTAAAGTTTATAGCTCTACCAATTAAATATAACAACCACTTATTAACAAGAAAAAGTATATAATTTTCTAGAGTTATTAGATTGAAACTATGAATATGATGATATGATGTCTTATGATAACTAAAAGTTTTTATTTAATACAAGGGAGGGGTACACCTGATTTTCTTTATTTAAAGATACTTGAAAGAAACTTAGTTATTTATATTTATTAGTAATAAATAAAAATAAAGGAATAAATTAACAGTAAAACAATAAATATTATCTTGAAATTGTTATATATTTATTTGCGGGAAGAATTTGCTGTGAGACAATTATGAAGGAAGTGGGCGCAGGATAAGCACGTGGGAGTCGCCTTTTCTCTCAATTGCCATTAGCACGCTGGCATTTTCACACACAACTCCACTGTTATCTCTTCTCTATCGCAGTCTTACTCTTGATTGTTCCTAAATATTTTCTCATCGATGCCATGATTGAATGAATCTTCTTCCCCATTTTCAAGTTTTCAGGTCTTCCTCTGTTCTTTATTACCCTCCTTTTTTGTTTCATAAAACAAAACCCATAAAATCTCATCACCATACTGTGTTTTCATTGATTATTCTGCGTGATCTTGATAGATTTCATATGGAATCTCAAAATGAGGTGTCAAGATTCGAATTAAATCACTTCAGAGTTTGTTTTATTTTGTGGGATTTTGTCGTCTGGTTACAACATTCTAACCATCATCAAAATCTTAAAGCTTTTATATGATTCGTCAGGGAATTTCCTGAGTTTTTTAGGGTTTAATTGATTTTGAGAATCTGTTTGGGTTACGAAAAATGGGAATTTGACAGTTTTCTAACTGTGCTCTGTTTTTGTTCATATGATATAGGAATCGTTTCGAGTGGGAGACAAGATTGATTTCGGTTCTTCGTGCTTAGTTATGAACATAATCGTGAACTGAAAACGTAAACTAGTGAATTGAAGGAGTTCAACAAGAACAAAAATCAGCCATGAAGTTTATGAAACTTGGTTCTCGGCCTGATACTTTTTACAATTCAGACTCTGTAAGGTACATGCATCAGATCAGTTTCCTCTGAAGTTTACTTCAATGTTACCTTGTAATTCACACAACTTGATCACTCGATTCAATTTTTTTGTTATAATTCAGATCAGTTTCCTCCGAAGTTTCTAGTGATCTTGTAGTTCAAGTAAATGGAACAAGATATTTGCTTCACAAGGTAAACACTTTTTAATCGTAATTTCCGCATATGTTTTCTATGAATTTACTTCAATTACACAAAAGGGGTTTTACATATTACAATTCCTATTGTATAATCCAATACAGTTGAAACAAATTACCACCAATTTTAAGATGTTTTGATTTTAATTCTAGAAATTTGATAGTTTGTGCTCTGTTTTTTCTTGGGAAAACAGTTTCCACTTTTATCCAAGTGTTTGCGGTTACAAAGACTCTGTTCCGAAAGCCCAGAATCGTCCTCCCAACATCAAATAATCCAACTCCCGGAATTCCCAGGAGGCACAGAATCCTTCGAATTATGTGCAAAATTCTGCTACGGAATCACAATTACTCTCAGTGCTTACAACATCGTAGCAGCGCGTTGTGCATCCGAATACCTTCAAATGACAGAAGATGTCGAGAAAGGGAATCTCGTTTACAAACTCGATGTGTTCCTCAATTCTTGCATCCTCAACGGCTGGAAAGATTCAATCATAACACTTCAATCCACAAAGCCATTCCATTTATGGTCTGAAGATTTGGGAATCACTAGCCGGTGTATCGAAGCCATCGCGTCAAAAGTCCTTTCTAACCCTTCGAAAGTGAGTTTATCCCATAGCTATTCCCGGCGAGGGAGGGACAGAGATGATATTTCTTGTAATGGCGGCGGTGAAAGTCACCGGAATAATAAAACCGGTGGGAAAGGGTGGTGGGCGGAGGATCTTTCCGAATTGGGTATCGATCTTTATTGGAGAACGATGATTGCCCTAAAATCCGGTGGCAAAGTTCCTGCAAATCTTGTTGGGGACGCGTTGAGGGTATATGCGTCCAAATGGCTACCAAACGTTTCAAGAAATCTTGAAAAGGATGTCGATTCAAATCCTTCGAATTCGAAAAGTCGGTTGTTACTGGAATCAATAATCAGTTTGCTACCAATGGAAAGAAACTCGGTTTCTTGTAGCTTTTTGCTTAAATTATTAAAAGCAGCGAATATTCTCCGAGCTTCATCTTCTTCAAGAACGGAACTATCTAGAAGAATCGGCGTTCAATTAGAGGAAGCAACAGTTCCCGATTTATTGATTCCATCTTCTTCAAACGACATGATTTATGATGTCGATGTAATTTTGAACATTTTGGACCAGTTCATGTTACAAAGTCAAAGTCCACCAACAAGTCCTGTATATTTAAAGGGTCGATTTGAGCGACATAGAAGGTCAAGGTCAGCGAATAATGGTGATTTTGAGTTGCAGGAAAGTAGGAGGTCTTCTTCTGCTTCTCATAGCTCTAAGATCAAAGTGGCAAAGCTTGTCGATGGATATTTACAGGAGATTGCTAGAGACGTGAATCTGCCATTGTCGAAGTTCACTGCTTTAGCTGAAGCTATTCCTGATTTTGCTAGATTGGATCACGATGATCTTTACAAAGGCATTGATACTTATCTCAAGGTATAATTTGATTTCCATCTTCTAATTTCGGTCAATAAATCAAAACGCTCTTTCATTTATCTGTTTATTGTAGCATTCTACTTTCGTTTTTTTTATTATTGCATCTTATTTTCATTTTTTTTTTCTTATAAGGCATTTTAAAAACTTTTATTCTTATAAGGCTTTGAAAAATGTACCCTCTTTTTATGTAGTCACATCCAAACCTCAACAAAACAGAAAGGAAGCGACTTTGTAGAATACTTGATTGCAAGAAGTTATCAATGGAAGTTTGCATGCATGCAGCACAAAACGAACTTCTCCCATTACGTGTAGTGGTTCAAGTCCTTTTCTTTGAGCAAGCTCGGGCAGCTATGGCTGGCGGGCAGCTGACCGATCTGCCCAGTAACATCAAAGCACTATTAGCTGCTCAAGATGATGCAACATCAAGGCCACCAGGCTCAATAAGCACCAACAGAAGCATGGTACAACCAGAAGATCAATGGAGTGTTTCGGGTCTTAAATCACCAAAATCAAGTCTTTCCACATTAAGAATGAAGTTAGCTGAAGATGATGATTTGGATGAACATTTTCAAGCTAACTCTTCAAAAGTGAAGCAACTTTGTTCACTTCCTAATCGCCCTAAACGAATGTTTAGTAAGTTATGGTCCTCAAACAGAAGCACAACTGAAAAACGTTAAAAAAAAAAAATCTCATGCGGGTAAATCTCTCTATTTTATTTTATTCATCTTTTTAAAGTGTCTTGTAATCTTTAGGGAAGTTAAATTGTGAATTGTTGGTGTAATCTATGGTAATAAATAAGAAAAAAGAAGGGAATTTTCTTGAAATTTGGTGTACTTTTCAAGATTCTGGCAGAATGCATAAAACTAAAGAAATTTATGATGGGGACAAAGGGTAAATCACTTTTTATTTCATTATTTATTTATTTTGAAATGTGTGTAAAGTTTAGGGAATTGATGTTGTGAATTGTTGGTGTGATCTATGGTAATAAATAAAAATAAATGGAAATTTTGATAAAATGTGGTGTAATTTTCAAGATTCTGATGGAAAGCATTAAACTTTAGAAATCCATGATGGGGACCAGAGTATTGATGTCTTTGAGCACTAGTCTTTTTCTCTAGCATCAGTTTGCAGTTCAATAATTTAATTCCGACGTTTCATACTCCATTATTGATTTCCACTTTTTTCGTATACTGAAAAGTTGTGGAAAAATGGACTCTTTCAAGTTCATGGAGGTTGACTGTTTGACCAAAGATAGCATCTTAGAGAAGTTGGATGGTCACAGTTGACTAAATCATATATGATAAACATGATTGGGTTTTTTCACTCTCCTACTCGAATGGTCATAATTGCTCTGTCCAATCGAGGAAGAATTTGGAATGAGTGGTCTTTCTTTAAAGTATTTGTCTTGTTTTTTCCATCATTTTCTTTTGTGAGTGTATATAACTAAAGGTGATTATGTATGTGTACTATGATTATGAGGATGAATAAGGTGGTAATGGAAGAATAAGTTTTTTTAAAGCATACCTCTCCCAATACCAATGTCATATCCCGTTTACATATCTACTCATTCCATATATCATAAGCCGACATCACTTAACATGGGCTACTAAATGTTTATAAGCCAACATCTGGAAAAGACAAATCGGAGTTTGTCTTGGTAAAAACATTAATTGGTGGACTAGGGATAACCTAAATCAAATTGATAGTATGTGCTAGTTCTAAAAATATATGGAAAAAAAAATACCACGGCCCAACTATCTCTCACTTACAATACATAGATGACATTAGGCTGGAGGAAGTGGTGTCACATTCTCTCATTTTGCCACACTTCAATACCACACACAAGGAGTGATATACCTTTAAAAGAGGAAAGAGAAAGAAGAGAGAGATAAAGAGAGGGAGGAAGTGATGTGTGTGTAAGGCTTGGATTTTTTTTTTGGATTTTATCTAACAGTGGAAACAAGAACAAGAAGAACAAGACCCACAAAGAAGATAGAAAAATGGGTAGATTAGGAGCAAAAACGAGAACAAGAACAAAAATAAATGATAGATTTGATAAACAATCTAGACCTATAGATTGAAGATCGGTGAAAACAAGTTAAGACCTATTAACTTGCATTCTATCAAGATCAGGAAAGCATCCCTCAAATGATGGGTTTTGAGTGTTGTAACAACTCATGAACAAAAGTTCTTTGATTTCATAAAATTCGTCGATACTTACAACTGAAAGGCAAATGGCTATTTAAAGCCTAAGACACACAACAAACAAATAAAAATACATCGAGAAAATAAAACTAAGACACACCCAAAATATGGAAAGTCTGCCTTTTTAGGCTAGGAAATACACCTTGCTACAAACTACAAAAGGGGGTTGCCTTAATGAAGAAACTGTCTCTTCATACTTTATTGGAGCTGAAATAGAAGTGAGAACAACATAACACCCTAAAAAGGAAATTTTCCGCCTTAGTTTTCATACGTTACCACGCAAACTCCACGTGGTGTTGTCCCCAAGAATTGACTTTCACATTGGACAGTACATCGAGGGTCGTAATCACAACTAGTCTTCCGGATCTCATTCTCGTTTTGACGTTCCCACCCAGGTAACTTAGACTGTAATGCGTTGCGATCGTTCACAATGGATCGCACTCGTTTGCATCCATTCTTCAGTAACTGCGATGGGTTGCAACCATTCATAGTTAATCACATCCATTTGTCATCCTTTTCACATCTATCTGCCCTTTCACTCAAATCGCCTTTCTCAACCAATTCTCCTTTCGCATCACCTATCGTATTCACATCATTCCCTTCTCCTTTGAAAGGAATTGTGCTCAATTCCAAGCGATCTTCAACAACCCCGATCACACTTTCTGACAAATCAACAATCTTTTTTTCAAGTCCAAATGATTTTCAACACCAAATTCAACATCAAATAAAGAATTAATCTGATGAGGATCATTCTTCAAACCCAGAGTTGGACCTAACATTTCTTCAACATCTTTTTGGATCGAACGAACATCAGATCGAGCATTCATCTTAAGCAATGTGTTGAAAGTAATAAAGGTTCAATCTCATATTTATTAACTTAATATGTTAGGTCTTGTTAATAAGGGGTAAAAGTTAGTCAATATATATTTTGTTGGGTGCTAAGTGAAATTGCAGGGAAAGCACACGCGGGTCAGAAGATGGATCGGTTCTTTTATGGGTGGCTCCATATTCGAGTATCCGAAGTATATATACTAAGGAAGAGTGTTGTTCATCAGTTCTTATCACTTCCTGATCTTATCACTTTCCGATTCAGAGAGAGGGTTTCTTGTTTAGGGTTTTCTTTCAGTACTCTCGTTTCTTTCTGATCTTGTTTTGTTCATCTGTTGTATTGATGAGTTGTTATTCTCTTATGGTTAGTATGGAGTTTCAGATGAATATATTTGTATCATCTGTTTAGATTAGGGTTGAGTGATAAAGCAAGAGAGTATAGTAGGTTCTTTGTAGTGAGGTTTATTTGTAAGTTTGTGAAAACCTTCTGTTTCTTAATCCTCTAATGATATAAGAAATGAAGATGTTGGGAAATCTGTATTGTCTAATTTCAACATGGTATCAGAGCTGTAAGGCTCATGTTTTTTGATCCTGACGCTTCGATTCGTTGCTTGTTCGTCTTCTTGTGATTTTCGTGTTGACGATTTGTCGAAAAGGTATCTGTTGCTTTTTCCGCTTTGTTCGTTTTTAGGGTTTTGTTATAGTTTCCTAAACACGATATGTTTCCTTTTGAGATTCTGGTACTGCGAGTTTTCTTTGTTTGATCTTGCAGATTAACAAGATTGTTACCTTGGTTGTTGTTCTGCTGTTGTGTTCTTTGGATTAATTGATCAATCTCTCTAATCTGAAATACCTCTCTTGGGGTCGGATTTCATCACCGATAAACCCTAGAGGGAACGGATTCAGGGAGTCGATTCTGATAAACTTCTGTTGCTTATAGCACTGTGAGGTTTTCTTGTTCTCTTTTACTCCTTTTGTAGTTAAAGATTTGGGAGATCCTGGTGTCTTGTTCACACCAGTTAATTGTTGTTTGTTTTCTTCAAGTTAGTTCTTATTTTTTGACTCTGTGTTGATTGTCTTGGGCCCCGACATACTGTGGTGACCATCTGGACTAAAAGTCAACACATGTGTTTGCTTGTGTTATTTGGTTTGGTTGCTATTTGTTTGTTATTTGTGTGATTCTTTATGGCTGGTGAAACACCTGGAGGGAGTGGTACTCCTAAAGATAGTTCTGTGGACTTTGATGATCCTCTGTATGTACATCCTTCTGATAATTTTGTGACTTCTATTATATCAATTAAGTTGTCCGGTAATGAAAATTATAGGTTGTGGCGTAGTGCTATGACTAGAGGTCTGAAAGCTAGAAACAAATTAGGGTTTTTAGATGGTACTATTACTCTTGAAAGCACTGAAACTTCTAAAGCTTCTAAGTGGGAACGTGTTAATGTTGTTGTGTGTAATTGGATTTTAGGATCAATTTCTGAAGGTATATATGATAGTCATGTCTATTCTGATAAAGCTAAAGATATTTGGGATGAGTTATTTGAAACCTATAATAAGGCTGATGGTTCTATAATCTTTAACATACATCAACAGATTAACACCTTAAAACAAAATGGATCTTCTCTCTCTGATTACTATAATAAACTTGATTCCTTGTGGAAAGAGTTTGATGGTTTGACTAGTCTAATTGAATGTGTGTGTGAAGCTGCAACTAAACTTAGTGATATTCAAAATTAATGAAGCTAATGCAGTTTCTAAGTGGTCTTGATGATGTTTACAATCAAGTTAAAAGTCGCATTCTTTTGATGGAACCTTTACCAAATGTTAAGTCTGCCTTCTCTATTCTTTCTAGAGAAGAGTCTCTTCAAAAGAATGGTTCTTTAACTTCGACTATCACTTTAAAACCACAGATTTCAGGTTTTAATAATAAAGTTAATGATTCTAAAAGAGGACAAGGTCAAACTAGATCCAGAAATCAGAATTTACATTGTAAACATTGCAATCTTAAAGGTCATACAATAGAAAGGTGCTATAAGCTGATAGGTTATCCAAAAGATTTTAAGCAAAAGAGTGAAAATGTTATTCAGAACAAATCTTTTTCTATAAATTCTGCTTCTGTTGGTTCTAATGGTAATACTGTAGTTTCTTCTGAGTCTGTTCGTGATAGTGATGCTCACTATCTCACAAGTGAACAATATGCCAAGTTTCTTCGTCTCATTAGTGAAAGCTCTACTAGTGAGGATGTATCTGCTGCTGCAAATATGGCAGGTACATCTATTTTTTCATGTTATAGTTCTGTTGTCAATTCTAATAATTTTCAAAGTTGGATTGTTGACTCTGGGGAAAATCAACATATGATAGCCTCCGAGTCACATCTTCAAGATACAGTGGATGTGTCTAGACTTAACCTTCTTGTAAAACATCCTAATGGTTCTTCTGCTCCAATTAATAAGATAGGAAACTTACAATTATCCTCTCACCTTACTTTATTTGATGTATTTGCTGTTCCAGACTTTAATGTGAATCTCTTGTCTGTACATAAACTATGTAAGGATAGTGGCTGTGAAGTTATATTTTCTGAACATAATTGTAAAATTCAGGATTCACTATCAAAGGAGATGGTGGAGAATGGTAGAGAATCTGGGGGACTGTATTATCTTGATCATGTTCCCTCATCTAATTCTGCTAGTATAACTAACTCTAAATGTTATGTTTCAAAATTGACTTGGCATAGTAGACTTGGTCATCCAGCTGATCAGGCTTTAAGTGTTTTAAAAAATCAACTGAAATTTGGTAATGATTCTCTTCCTCCTTGTGATGTTTGCCATAGAGCAAAACAAACTAGAGAATCTTTCTCTCATAGTCAGCATGTTTCAACACAACTAGGTGAATTGATTCATTTAGATGTATGGGGTCCCTATAGACTTGTTTCAGTTGAGGGGTTTAAATATTTTTTGACTATTGTGGATGATTATACTAG